TTAGGTAAAATTGGATAATTTCCCACGGTACACCTGATGATCTCTCACGGCACACTAGTGTGCCGCGGCACAGTGGTTGAAAAACACTGCTTTAAACAACAAAACACAGCTGCAACCTGGAAAGCTGTGATCAGCTATCTCAAAATGTGGTCACCATATTTACAATTCAGATTACTGGGGGTTTTGTCTGTGTTGTGTTGTTATGTTTGTGATGGTGCCAGTGGTGCCACCTTCAGGAAAAGTGTCCCCACAGTTTGGTCTGCATTGGTTTTGACCGGAGACTGGACTGGAAATGAGATGCTGTCATATAATGTCTAGTAGTGTACGTCAGTTTTTCTGGTGAGCACCAAACTGTATAGCGTCAGACGATGTCTGAGCACCAGTTTCTTTTCAGTGCCAGATCATTTTTACCGCACACCAGATAGCTTCATCATGCACTAATGGTTTCATGAGCACCAGGCAGCTTTTTGTGCATGTCAGTTCTAGTAAGCACCAATTTTTAATGAGAGATACTTTTACAAATGGCTTTGAGTGCACACATTCTCTCCTGAGCAAACCAAGTTTTTGTTCATATCCCCTTCAGGCCTTGGTAATTCTTTTCTTCTCTGTAGGTCAGTAAAACCCTGGAAAGTTCCACAGTAGAATGAGTGAAGGAAATTCTCCCTGTGCTTCTGGTTCCTCCTCAGCACTTGACTGTGTGACGAGGCTGGTTGAAGGTATCCAGACAAAGGTGGGTGGTCCCTGCAGGCTGCAGGTCTGTGCTGACAGTCAGCGGTGTTGGTCTGATGACAGTGTGGCTGTGTGAGAGCAGCAGGGAGACTCCTCGGGCCCAGACAGACACTCACACACTGCTGCCAGGTAATCCCAGGCTGCCGTCACTGTGTGTGGGTTTCTGTCAGTGGGTGTTTGTCTATTTGTGGACGTGTCTCACTGTCGCACTGTTGCCAAATCTATGCTTCCCTGTTTTTATATTCTGACAAGCTTACCCTGAAAATTGCATTTCAGCAATTAGCTATGATGGTACTGGACAAGCCAGATTGTTATTTCTAGTTATCAGTTTAAATACTCACATTCACACACCATCGACACGGTCTTTAAAAACCGTGGGAGCAACTTTTGTCCATTTGTAGTAATAGCGACACTGGACTCAGACAGGTTTAATAAGATGTGGGAACTTGGCGACATCACTGGTTTTATGAGCCAGTCAGATGACAAAGTCCAGTTTCTCCAAGTGATGTGGGGTCAAACTGAGAGCGAGGTAAAAAATGATGTTTCATCTAGTTTCACCAGCACATGGAGCTTTAATAACAAACCAATTTATCTTGTTAAAACAAGAAAATGCTCTTGTTTTGATGAGATATTTGTGTCACTTCCCCCCATGGTGAAAAGCTGGATCCAGGCGTCACTGATTTGTGTACTACTGAGAACACGTCTGGTGAAAAGGTAACAGCTTGGTGTGTAGTGATAATGTGTCTTTACAAAGTGACCGGCGCCATGCTCATGTTCACCTTCCCAGTTTACTCTGTTAGCATGCTCACGTTTGCCAATTAGCTGTAATTAGCAGGGTGCCTGTCTTGTTATGCTGGCACCAATAGACTCACTTAACTTTTGGGGAGAACCTCCAGCCCCGTGCCTGTGAGCCGTGGTGCGGCCACACGGGGGCAGCAGAGTGACAGTGTGCCATTAACATGACAGTCACCTCCGTGTTTCTGTAGTGTGAAGCGTCATATAAAAACCGTATGTGAGTGGTGGCTTTGGTGGTTTTGGGAAGGGTGGGGGGGGGGGGGCTGGGGGGTACACTGCCCCACACTGTTCAAACTGTTTATGCATACCAGTGTGCTGTGAGAGCCCCTCTGTCACAGCCTGTTTACTCAAACTTATTTTGGGAAAGTTCCACCTCTGCGCGGCTCGGGCCATAAATCACTGGGTGTGCAGCTCAGTGGGACGACGGCGGGTGTCAGTCACACTCAGACCTGTCACCTCTGCACCACTGTGGGATCAGCTCTGTAACCAAGTGCACAGATGCCTTAGGTCTCCAAATCAGTTTCGTTTAGATGTCTAGGGACTAGACACAAGCGCCGGGGCGAGCGCGCGTTTTCTGTAATGGCCCCAAAACTGTGGACCAGTTTACCTGTTAGTATTAGATCTGTCAGTCTTTAGGTCACTGATTTCAATAAACTTTTTTCCTGTTTATTGTTCATTTTTTATTGGATCACAGTTGACAAGTCTTCTATTTTGCTTTTTTATTTTATTATGGCTTATGTGAAGTTGGTCAACAAGCTGCTGTTTTTAAAGTGCTGTATAAATAAATACTGATTTTATGTGACCCATTATTGTCTCAGTATTGTTTCATCATCAGGGTTTTTTCTTGCCTTTACATTTCAGACAAACATTGCTCTGAGTTTCTCTACACTGAGTTTACAGCTGCACTAACAGGGACAGAACGGCAACAGCTGCATCAATGTTTCCTGCTGTGTTTTAATAGAAACACTTATTTATCCACTCACTTGGATTATTACTCTGTTGATTCATTCAGTTTAGCTGGTGAGCCATTTGCTCGTGTAGTTCATTAATCTGTTAATTCAGCTTTTATTAGTAAAATGTTCTTCTTGTAAAACAGGCAGATCCATTCATCCATTCAACCAGGTGATCTGTTTCTTCACTCTGGGTTTCTGTTCGGTTTATTCATCTGTTCACTCGATGCGTTAATCCATCCACTAGTTATGATTATTTTCACTGGATCTGTCATTAATCTGCCCACTCTCTCTTTCTGACAGGTTGAACTGGAGTGGTTTTACAGTTGGCACTTCATCAGTAGAATCCCATGAACCAGTACATTCTATCCATTCACAGGCCCAAGATGTTTCCTATTAAGCTCAGAAAAGCAGCTGCAGATGTCACACTCCTGAAGAAAACGGTGGTGCCAACCTGTCCCCAGTTATGTGGCTTTCCTGATGTGGAAGGGCTCAGGTGAAATCTGGTACAGTCCTTAGAGGCTGACAGTTAAATCACCTGACATTACATAACCTGACTCTGAAAAACATCCACCTTCAGAGAGTCGACAAATTGTTCAGAAACTCCTGAGCGGGTTTCCTCCGCTGTCTGATCCCTGATACAACACTCCCAGTTGGCCTGTGTTCAGAGGTGAATATTTGATGTCTGTGACTGAAACAAAAGGATAAATTACAAACTAGCACCTAAAATATTTCCTGGATTACAGAGTACAAGAACGCAGAAGTGGGTCCAGACCCAGTGGTTGTTGTTCTACCGAGAACCGCCGACATCTACTGGTGAGTGTGTGAACAGCAGCCACCACAGTCACATCTGTATTCTGTCGGTATCGTGGTTTATTTCAAACCTTCAGAATAGCAGAGAGGCACACAAGTATCTGAAGCTAGTCAGCCAATGAGCACCAGGTAGATATCAGATATCACAAGAAGAAAAAATATTTACAAATATAAATTAACACATGGTTCCAAAATACACAGTGACAGCAAATGTATTAAAATTGTATCAAACTGGTGATAATGTCTTTTGTTGAGATCATGAGGAGAGATCAGCTCACACTGAAACTGTGCGTAGTGCAAACAATACTGTCAGTAATCATAATGAAAAACAAGATTAATCACATTCATAACACCTTTGGTCCAAAGAACTGAAAATGGGATGAAAATGTGCCGACCACAGACAGATTTCACTTCTTCTTCTTCTTCTTCTTTTTTTTGAATATTTTCTGAATCATACTGCCCCGGATAAAGCCACATATTTAGTTCGGATACAGGGCTCATGAGCACAAACGTCCTACTCAAAGTAATCATCGTGAACCGTGGCAGGTCGATGTCGTGAGGAGAAGCTGAGGCACTGGAGAGGTGGTGTCGTACATCCAACTGTATTTTCAAACCTCGCTGCTACACCTTCGAATAAAACGCAGTCTGCGAACTGACAGAAGCAACTCATAGTGGGAATTTATGGCCAGATTCATCACATTTTACTCAAGTTCCACTTACTAGCTTGTTCCAAAGCATTCAACTGCCTCTAATGGTCATCAGTTACAAAATAGCTTATATGGGTCACTGTTTTCACATGACAAAGTTCCATGAAGTGCCACTCATGTGATGACAACTGAGCATGCTCTGTCCACTGAGATGCTTTTGAAAGAAAAAACCTAGTAAGTGGACTTCAGGGATAGATTTGTCAAACTCCTTCTGCAGAGTGCAAGAAGGAGCCTTCATCAAACCAAACTCCATTCAAAAAAACTTTAAATGTAAAGCAAGACAGACAATGTACAGATGAACCTCAATTCAGTTGCCACCGACTGATTTCAGAATCTGGGTGAATTTCTGCCACATCAGTTATGTGATTCTCAGTCTCATCAATCCCCTGAGCGGTGAATTTCTGCCACATCAGTTATGTGACTCAGTCTCGTTAATCCCCTGAGCAATCCATGATCTAGACTTCTGGCAGGCCTGTCTGCAGTTCCATCAACATGGCTGCTGTCAGAGGGTCCATTATAAAATGCACTGTTAATACTACTGGACGGGCAATGATTTTTGAATATTTGAACAGTCATTAAACTCTGGTTTTGTCTTTAAAAACAAAGAGCCACTGCTCTCCCTTGCTTTTACCGGTGACTGGAAATACAGTAACGTGATAACGAGGTCAGTATATCATTTTACTACAGTGGTTTGGCGCTTTGAATAATTGTAAAAGCTCCCAGCAAATATCAAACTGTATTTTAGCTGAAATGCCCATGCCCGTGCAGTAGTGTTTTACATGTTGTGGTTGACTTGTTTCTCCTCTTCAGGTCACAGACTGCATTTTAATATCAGGTGTAAAATGAACATCAGGGTTCCCATGTTGTTTCAACAAACCAACGGAAGCGTGTTACCGACCTTGACCACAGCTGAAACCACAGGAACTGTATCGTCCTGCTTGAACAGCACAATGTTGGTCCCAGACTTTGTGCACACATATAAAAAGGTGGAATGACTGAGCAGTTTGTAGAGAAACCTTCGGGAGCAGCCTGAGAGCTGCTGAGGAAAAGAGTGTAGTGACCCAGTCTGGTCCAGCTCAGCTCTGCAGACTCAGGCTTCCTTACAGACATCCTTCAGTGATTTCGTGAATTAAAAAACCCCACGCTAGTTGGCGACTCCTTCACCGTCACTGTGATGAAGTTGGCTGTGACGTCGGTGACAAACACATGCTCCAGAAGGTTCCGGGTCGGCCGCCAGTCTGTTTCTGTGTCCGACTCTGTGGCGTTGTTGCCGAAGCTGGGCCTGCTGTTGTTGGGATACAGGGCGGCGTCGTGTTCTGACTCGCTGCTGCTGGTCTCGTCAGAGTCTCCGGTGCTGAGCTCGTTCAGGCTTCGGTTCTGACAGCTGAGGCCGTGTTTCCTCTCATCCTGCCTCCCGTTGCCGTTCCCTCGGCCGGAGCTGCCTCCTGCCAACATCTCCTTCCCCCTGTCTTCTCGTGACCTCCCCTGCTCTGTGGTGCCACCTGTTGCCAGACCAGAGCGCTGTCCTCCAGGAGCTGTTCGAGTCTCTTTGATGCTAGCCATTCCTCCTTTCACTACAATGCTGCTGCTGTTCCGTAAGCTTGACCGTGATGCTGCAGCCACAGAGCTGCTGGGGTTGTTTCCTAGAAGGCTGCTGCTGGCCAGCGGCTTGCTGACGCTCTGCAGGTTGAGAGCTCGGAGGCTGAGTGCCTGGCTGGCTCGGTCGCGGGGTGTGGGCGAGGAGGATGACAATGATTTAGAAAGGCCAGAGTTCTGCTGCTTGTGCTGAACCAACCCGGTCTGACCTCCAACACCATCCTGCCTCCTCTGGCCCAGAGGGGAGCGCTGGACTGCCATCTGTCCTCCCCTGAAGCTGCTGTGTAAAGACAGAGACCCTGAGCCTCCACCTGGTTTTGGCGGAGACACTTTGAACCCGTTTCCTCTGCTGCTGCCCGACTCTGAGATGGAGCGCTTCAGCTCAGACACAGAGTTTTTACTCTGCGGTGAAGGATTGGCTTTACTGTGGGAGAAGGAGGAGCCCGAGGACGGAGATGAGGTGGACAGAGAACGGTTGGTCCAAATGCAGCTGAGCGATCCAGGTTTCGAGGAAGCTGTCTGGGAGAAGGAACTGGTGGAGGTCTGGGAGGAGGCAGCCTCGTCTCTAGAGGTCCTGCTCAGACCAGTGTAGGTGAAGCTGGCAGGCTGCAGCGGCTTCTTCACGCCGGGTCGAGGCTCGTCTCTGGGTGGTCTGAGTGCCTGGTGGTGGCGAGGAGGAGGAGAAGGTCTGCTCTTCACCTGTCTCAAAGCCCTCAGGTCAGGGTGGAGCGGCTTCCTCCCATGCTTCTTCTTGTGAGGAGGGTCAGGTTTGGCCAGCAAGATCTGCGGCCTCTTCTGGGGGACAGGGTGGACCCGAGGCCCGGGCTTTGGCTTCTTGGTGTGATCTTCATCCTCTGAGGAAGAGGAGGCCGATGATGAAAGGCCAGAGGAAGAGGAGGACGAGGAGCGGCTGTCTTTTGTAGTGGTTGGTGCCGGCTGCTCAAAAGACAAAGACTAATGAGTTAAACTGGTGAAGTTCTCTTGACAGCAGAGTCCAATTCGCCATGTGAAGTCACTGCGAAGTTACCTGAATCTTTCGTGGACGTCCTCTTGGCCTCTTCCCTTTCTTTTGGAACAGAAGCTCCCTCTCTTGTTCTCTACAACACACCAGTAAAGGAAAGCACACGCATTTATTTGTGAGTGTTAACAATAAAAGTAATTTTGAACTCGTTATTTATGCAGTCAGTGTGGTTTTGGAGGGAAGAGAGGAGAACAATCACTGGTAACAAAATGTGACCAAAAGGCACAAAAACAGAAACACACCTTTTGTGAAACGCTGCCAGTAACCTCGGGTCCAGGATGTTTTCTTCCGGCTCCCAGCTGTTGTGCCTGACAATATCAGAACATTTAGTATTTTAATATACATACGTATTTACTAGTTTTCTTCCTCTATCCGATATTCAAACAGACGGTGTGTTAATAGCATGTACGTATGTGCTAAGAACAACACTGGACTGACAGCTTTTTTAAAATTACATACACACTGTGTTTTTATAACTGCTTGTCTTTTATGCGTATGTCCCCAAAATCCACTTTGGCATTTTTTAAAGACTTTTGTACAAACACACAAAACCAAAATTTGAAATAAAGCCCAGTGGGTTCAAACAGTGATTGGAAACATTTTGATAATTGAGTCATTTTTCAACCAAAACTGCCAAATATCATCTGGTTTCAGTTTCCCACATGTCAGGATTCTCTCATTTTGTTTGCCACAAGTGGGTAAATTTAAAGTCTTCGGGATCAGGAGTGTTGGTCCGTCAGCATCTCAGTGGGCTTGGAGAAATGCTAGGTGGCATTTTCCGCTAGTTTTGAACATGTTATCAACTAAACAACTAATTAAGAAAATAATTGATGCACTAGAAAATAATCCTTAGTCTTAATTTCAACATTCGGTACAAGATATAATCTGATGTTCTCAGAGCTATAATAAGAATGTAATTATGGTCTATATAGGTCTATGGATCATAAACAGTCGAGGGGCTTGTGACTATGTTAACTTTGGTGGACTAATCAATCACCAGAAACATAATTGGCAACTAATTTGACAATCTAATAACCGGTCTGTATCCACCCCGCACACCCAATGTGTCAAATACTTGCTGTTTGTGGCTTTTCAAAGCGAGGATGTGATGTCATGCTTTTCTATGTCACACACGACTGGAAATTGAATCTTTGGATTTTATACACAATGTGACAAGTGAAGATGTCAACCTGGACTCCGAGACTGAGCACTTCATGGACTAAACAATTCATTTGATAGAAATTCATCGGGATCATTGCCTTGCGGCTCTAACGTAGCCTACAGGCTACAGGCTCTATCTACTGTGATGAACCTGTGCCCCATGACATGTCCTGATCAATGACTCCTGCATGTGTAATAAATGCCAGACTGGTCTGTGAACATGGTAACTACAGGGTTAATGGATACTGAAGCACCCTTCATTCATAATGTGCATGCATGTAAAGAGCACCAGGATTTGATTCTGGTTGTGGTTCAGTTTGCACCGGTTTCAGGTGATCCAGCCGAGCTTGCAGTCTGTACGGGGAGCATCAACTGCTTTAAACGGCACAGAAAAGACTAGAAAAACGGCAAACGCCGCTGTAGTTTCACCGTGTGTCCGCTGTGCGTGTATCGGTCAGTGTGTTAAACAGAAACCCGGTGTTGTGTCCCTCCACTGATCAGATTTTATACCCCCAATAGGAGCGTAAACAACGCGCCGCAGCCAGGCATTGTCTCCGGCCATTTTTCACTGTATGTGTCGGCTAGCACCGGAGGCTAGCTAGCTAGCTAGCGACTTACTTGGACGACCACCCTCTCCACTTCACCAAATATTCAAACTTGCCCTGTGAAAGAGGAAACAAAATGTCAGAAAAACCAGACGACCGAGTTCGGTGAGAAGACAGGCCCCCGCTGAAGCTGCAACAGCGTTTTCCTACCTTTCTCGCCCGTTTACTGAGGATGCATTCCGCATCAAATACCTGGCCCACTGTGACCCCCTCCATTACTACCGCAGCCCCTCGAAACGGGCACGGAGACCGTTTTTGACCTCTCACGGCCACCGTAGGTCCTTTTTCCACTTGTAAGCTGTACAATCTGCAACAAGACTCACTTAAATACATACAAATTCGTCGCTGTTAATATAGATATATCTGACAGATTAAAATGCACATGCACTTTTAATTTTGTTTTATATTTTTAACTGTATTTATTTTTATAGCACATTTCATTAAAACAAAACAGGAAGATATTTGAAATTACTAACAGGTGGCTGATAATAAAGTTACCCAAATTAATGCAATTGAGTAAACATTACAAGATTCTTGTGGAGTAGAAGCACAAGTATCTCATAATTGCGTTAAACTACATTATTTGGGTAAGAGTACTACGTTATTTTGTACCATTGGACCTCATCACTTTAAAGGGTAGGTTGGGCTCCACTAATGCATTGTGTCGGTGAGTGTCCTCACAAGTATAGAACTACAAACGTGTGCGCGAACAGCCCGGAACCTTTGTGCCTGTAGCTAAAGACGGGGCGAATTGTGTGTTGCACGCACGTTGTACGTTTCCCCCGATCTTGTTTGGTAGCGTGTGAATGACAGTGGCGTTCAACCTCGAAGGTATCAACATTTTAATCATGTTTTAAAACATCTGTTCATAATGAAGATGAGCGTTTATTTTCCAGCCTGTCTTGTTCGCAGTCAGTGACAACCAGAGCTCAGGTCTGTTGTATGAGAACAGTTTGGTTTCATTTAACTTCTTCCACCGGTGAAACGACCACTCACTGCTTTATTGGTTAAATACCCTCGACTAAAAAGTCGAGAAGTTAACAATAATTGCTGGCTTTTGGTAAACAGATGAACCACATCTGAGGACGTTTTAAGGTTTCCCAGGGTCCACTGGTAAATTCGGAATATATGATAATGATAATCACTTTAATTAGCCAACTATATTACACACACACAAGGAATTTGTCTCCGGTGCAGAACAGATACAGCCTTCTGCCGTGCCAGCTGACACACACCGATGGTGGCTCTGTCCCTGCTAGGAGCTGCTATGTCCATCGGGAACAGGTTGGGGTTTGGGGCCTTTACCAGGGACATTTCGACATGTGGACTCGGGAAAACGGGATTCAAACCGCAGGTCTTCTGGTTGGGGGAGTGACTGCTCTACCTCCTGAGCCACAGCCCATTGATTTACTGAAATCATAACAACGATTTGCAGTCTTTAAAAGTGATTCTGCTGCCGTGACTGTCTGGCTTTGTTTTTCCAGCTCAACTTGGGTTAGAATAATCAATAGCTTAGAAAATATGTTGAATGAAGACTTAGTTTAACAGCATGAAAAGGGTAATAACGTTATGTAGTCATGCTGAAACAGACATGAAGTATTTGTTCGTTCGACATTAACACCAGGTTTGAAACTACAGCTTGATTGCTAGGAATATTTACTTCTGTCATTTAACAAAGCTCTGTGAACTTCCAACAAGAAATCTTCTACGCAGGCTGTGGCTCAGAGGCCCATGTCCCCTCAGGCCCCTGTGCCCTGTTCAATAATCCATACATGGTCTCAGGTCACATTAATTAATTATTATAACAATAGGAATTATTGTCATGTACAGTTTTGAAGTGCTGATTAAAAAGTGTTATGCATCATTAAATCAGTGTACGTAATAAATACTGTGGGCCTTGTTATTTTACGCCACTGTTTGACAGGTGTGATGTGGAAAAGGTGTTGTGTTATGTTCTATTAAAAGTGAAGTTAGATTTTGTGACCAGGTGCAGGTGTTCAGGGTTGACTCTGTGTTTGTCCTCCTCCAGGTGAGTTACTCCTGCAGACTAGCTCCAGGTGAGGACTGACTGCAGGACCGGTCATGTTGCTGCCTCTGCTGATGCGCCCGTCCCTTGGCTGCCCTCAGGCCTCCGTGGTGTTGACGTGCTGCGTCCGGACACTTCGGCACTACTCTCAGGCTAAATGCTTCCTTCGACGGAGGCTTTCCCT